TCTCTCTCTCTCTCTCTCTCTCTCTCTCTCTCTCTCTCTCTCTCTCTGTCTGTCTCTCTCTATCTCTCTGTCTCTCTGTAGATTCTCTGTTCGTGCTTCTGCAGAAGCGCGCGCCACGCACGGACTCTGCTCGCTTCCACGTAGCTGCTCGAGCGTATTCGTGTACGCGTTCATATTCGCGATCATGCTCGCACTCCAGTGTAGGTACGCCCCGTTCGTGTGCACGCGAGTCGACGGAGCGCGAACGAGCTCCTCCTTCGACATGCGTGCGTCGAAGCCTCCGTAACTTCCACCGTGGATCCGTTAAATTGATTCGGGCCGCAAAGTTTAAGCTGCGCTCGCGACTACTCCTGCTGGAACTTGAACTGCTCGAAGATTCATAAGAATCGTATATTTTAAAGTCACGACGATATTGCGATATCAACTTCGTCTACTTGGATGCTCGAATTTCATTATTTCAATCTTACTAACTAACCAATGCATCGCTCATCGCATGGTATTGACAAGTGGGAGGGAAAGTTGCCAAGCAACAAGTAGCGCGGGAGACGCGCTACTAAAAATTATCGATACCGTAGCCAGTTTTCAACTGTTCGAACGCGGAAAAATTCATAGAATAGTTCTATCTCTAGATCCCGGCTTCCAGTCCGCTTTCTCTCGCTCCTCCGCTCTCGCAGTTTACTGCTTCCGTTTGCGTGGCGATATTTGCCACGTAACGTTTATCGATCCCAGCGAAAAGCGTGCAACGACCTCGCGTTTAATTACTATTGGCTTCCTGTTTCCGGGAAGAATTTTTTTCCCATCGCTATCAAGCCGGACGTGTTCGTTCGAATTGTCTCGATTCGATCGATGGTAGGACGTCGAACGAAGGCTCTCATTTGCGAGGGCTAATTCACCGAGTATACGAGGAGAAAACGGGAGAAAGGTATAATTCGAGCGTTCGTCGCGTATACGGTGAACGATCGTTGAAAACAAAGTTTCATTTTTGACACTTCGAACTGGCGAACGACGATAGAAAACGAACGCGGAAAGTTTCATTTGTATGAAAGATGCTTTTCTCATTACTCTACGAACACTTCGACTTGAAAAGAATCGTAAAATCGAATATCAGTTCGGTTGGTGTTCGGTATGCGTCGCGCACAGCTGTTTCACGACGCAAAACAAACGCGCACCGGTCCCGCGTTCGCCGCTCCAATCCGTAATTGATCGTAAACCCGAGGATGTCTCGCGGTTTTACGAGCAAACTCGGTTTAGATGCGTTTTCCTGGGAGCCCCGTGTCCCTGTTTCATTGAATTTCTCGGTATCGCGGCCTCTCGTCTCCGTTTCAACTCCTGCGATCGGATTTCAATGAATATTCATAGACGAATTTGTGAGTACAAACGGATCGTCGATAAGAGTAGCAAAATAATATTCGGTTACCGATGATAGAACACGGGAGTGGCTCTTACTGTTTTGGTCGTAAAAATAAATTGATAAACGGTGACGAAATTAAATACAATCGAAACTCGTTTAAAATTGATTGCTTCGGAAAACGTGAAATAGGAAAAAGTGAAATTTGGTCCGATTTAGAAACGGAAATCGACGCGAATCGGTGGACGAATCAAGCGAGATCACGACAGCGTTTCACGGGGGAAGTTGTGAACTCAAAATCGGCGATATTTCCGATAAGAGGATCGGCGCTTGTCGACCGAAGGGTGGTGGGCTCTCGTCCCCTTTCATCGCGAACGTTGGCGTCGGTGTCGACGTTGACGTCGACGTCGAAGCGGTGGACTGACATCAAAGGCATAGTATATAAATCAATTACCGACGACAAAGCGACGCCAGCGACCGTGCTGTGCCAGGACGCGCCGATACGTCGACGGTTCTGCGCAAACTCGATTATCGATACACCTCGAAGGTCGATGCCTCGTCGACTACGTGCCGCTATCGATAATCGGAGCTAAGGGCGCAACGGGAGACAGGAAAGGATGCGAGAGTGCTCATCGCGTACTGTCTAATCCACTCACGTTAAAAAAGTGACTTGTACTATGTCACGATATTCCCTGACGCGTCATGTTAATATTTCGACGAATGAAAAAAATAATTTTCATAAGATAATCATCTTCATAAATATTTTAATTAGCACAGCCCCGTTAAAATTCCGCGAGGAACGGTCCCGTGTCGCACGATTTTACTATTCACTTCTCGTGCGCAACGTCTTTGCGGATTTCGAGCGAGTGGTACATCTCGCCGACCGTGAAGGGAAGCTAGCATAGGTCAGACGGGTACACCTACGTGACCCACATGAGATCCGTTTTTCCAGAGAGTTCAAAGGTCTGACGCGTCACGTGCACGCGTCAACGCTGGAAAGCTTGTCGTCGTTTTACGGCTACGACACGGACCAACCTTTTCCGTCGGGCGATCAACAGCTGCATGCCCCTATCGATAAAGCATTTTATGGCCCGCAACGGTCAGATATCATTTTCCACGGCTGGAACAGTCTTACGATATCTTCGACCTCGAACAGCTCTACAGCAGAGTTGACGATTCAACTGTACCTCGAGTAAATAAATGATATGATTTAAAAAGGTACTGCAGCATTCGTCTACCTTCTCTTACTAATTGCAAAGGGGTTGACCCGTTCGGAGACAATTAACGCGGGTCCACCGCGATTTCGTGCCTCGAATCGTAACTTTCAACGCAGTCGTTGTAACTTCGATACGAGGTGAGCATGTTTGCATTCTGGTGCTCGCGGCGACGTGCTTCGCACGTTTACGCGGCAAGTTGTTGAAAGCTGCAGCGTAACCGAGCGTGCTTGGTCGTTGGGAAATGGTTGTTGCAAACTTTGAGGTCGTCGAGAAATTTGTCGCTGCGATTTCGGTTCTCGAGAGTCTTCCTTCGCTGAAATTCGCGACGATTTTGTCCGCAACCGCTGCTGTTTATACGACAAATAAATACTACGATGTAGAGCATTGGATGCATGTTTACAAATATTTAATTTCTTATTAATCAAATTCCAATGGTACCAGGTGAGCTAATTAATTGAACTCGCGAATAGCAATTACGCGGTCGAAGGATCGCAACTTTTTACAACGCTGTGTCACGTTCGAGCGTGAACTCGCTCGCCTTTGATTCCCGTTCCGCGCCTACGGGGAATTTTTCATCCGAGAATTCCGAGGTTTCATTGATCAGGGGTTAAGTGGCTCGGTGACACCAATTAACCCCGCAGCGTACGATCCGCGTGATACGAATTACGTTGACGCGTGTTTACGTTCTCTGCGACGACTCTGCGCATCATCGACGCGCTCGAAACCAGCCGGAGAGCTTGTTTTCTCGTAAAATCGCTCTTCACGCGGTTATCGAACAGCTACGCGGGACTGGAGGCAACACGCTAACTCCTTCGTAAAAACTTCGACTGGTTCTCCGTGCAAATTATTTGTTAAACTTAAGACGGAACGATATTCATCGAAAGACGAATAATATTCGTTGCCACGCTGGCGCTCGATGGGGTTAATAGAAAGTCACGCGTGTATGTCACGACGGAGTTGCAACGCGAGCATAACGACTGACACGCATATCCGCGTGAGCTATATTTGGTTCGGTGCAGCTAAACGGCACGTTCCACTGCCACGTTTACCGCGTCGAATTCATATCGTTGCATCCGGTTGGGGACAATTTCGTGGCGGTGGTTATCGAGAGCGTTCAATTGCTCGTTCAACTTAACCACTTGCGACGCTGGCTTTGACTCGATCCGCGAATCGCGTCGCAACGTTTACCGTAGTCTTTCTCGATTCGACTATTGGCACGAACGTTTGCTATATCGTCCATTTTCTTGTCTGTTTCAGGTAAGCTGAAAACAAAGACTCGCGAGCTTCTTGGTAAGAATAGCAACGTAAGTTCATAAGCTTAGCGATTAAAGGTACATTGATCTTTTTGCTCAAATCACTATTGAGAGATTTCGTAGACGGACAGGTCTTCTTTGACGACCATGAGCATCAACAATCAATCATCTCGATGCTTACCAAGATCTCCTTAAATGGAAACGAATCCACGTTTACATCGACTGCCCATTCTCGTCGTTTTCAAGGAAGACTTTTGTGTCTACTTAGCAGCAATCTTTGGTTCTATAACAAAGAATCGAGCTGGAATCAGCCTCGTCTACACGTCGGCTGCGTTTCTACGCGCCTCGTCGCATATAAACGTTGACGACTTCTTTGTTCGCGCCCGTAGTCGCTGACCTGCATAAATTAACCGCGATACACTCGTCCATCGACGACTCCAGCGCTATTTCGTCGTTGAAGTCTCTCGAAGGAGACGTCGGCGTTCGAGCATTCTTCCACGAATGGGAAAACTTTAATGGCGACGTCGTGTTCAGACATAGCGTTGAAATTCATCTCCTTGAAGGACGTACAGCTTTCTTGCGAAACTTTCGGCGTACGTGTCGCGTCGACCGCCCTTTCGGTGTCTCTTTCTGTGAACAGCTTTGTAAATCATTTTTTTTTTTTTTTTCATTTTTAATATCGTATCTCTTTTTCTGCTCTCGTGTTCATTTTGATAATTCTACTCCGCGTATTTCTCGATACGTTGTGGTTAGAATGTTTCCAATTTGCCTGGGAATCGCAAATATTAATTCCAGTCGCGATTTCCTAAAAAGCCGCTGCGCTTTGAAAAATCAAAGATGGAAGCTAGACTGGTCGGAGGGGGAGTTTTCCTGGCGAAAACGATGACAATCGGAGGCGGGATTCGGCGAACCGGAACGGAATAGGAGCCGGAATAATCGTGGCCGATGCGCGGCAAGCAATCGGCAGCCTCGTTACCAGCTGCCGGCTCGTTAATTAACCGCGATTACGGGGGCGGCGGTGCATGCGAGAGAGCACAGCTCGCTCTCGCTTCTCCGCCACCCTCGCTTCCCTCGGCCCACAGTCCCATGTCTCTCGTTACACTCGCCACTTCTCCGCACGACAAGCCTCACATCCGAATAACCATCCGTCCGTGAAATCGTTACGACTCTGCACTCCGCATCGGTAAATCCTCTTTGTGCGTTTTTTTCGCCGTTACCCCTCCGCTAGCGTTCGAACAAGCGGTGCTTGCGGAGGGCACCCGCGCTTTCGAGTCTGCTCCTAACGATCGTTACGCAGGGATCGGAGTCGCGACGATTTTCACAGTTATCGTCGAAACCACCGTTTTGAATCATACGAATGCTATGACAGTATTCGATAGATTTTGCAATCATATGTCCAACCCTTTTTTTTTTTTAGTGGAAATCGAAGTTTGAGCTGAAGTAAACGCACGCTCGTTCTCGCGATAATTACACGAAAAGCAATTTATTTTACGTATCGGAATCGAATCCTGTAACCGAATCGGATCCGTGACTACTTACTGAACTGAACCCCGTCTCCAGTCGTGGGACATCGGGAACGCGTTCTCGAAAGAATTCGAGCGACGCGCGAGCGTGCTGCAACGCTATCCGCGAATAAACGCTAGGATTTCTTTTCGGTGCCAAGGATTTCCAGATAAATGTGTTTTCCGAGCGACGAGTGATTAAAGCGTTCCCTCTCGCGCATCCGTGTCACCCTCTCTCTTCCCCCGCCCCACTCCCGTTTCCTCTTCCTTTTTTCCTCCTGTCAGCGATGCAGCGGAGCGTCTCTATCTTCGCGCTTGAAAAGGATCGCAAACGTCCTTTTCCCGCCTGCCGCTTTAACCAACCGAGGCGTTCTTTTTACGGAAAATGCGGCTTTTAAATCCCGATCCACGTCGTTTCACGGCGGAAAACCGACTGCTGCTACCTTTCTTGGGGAACCAGGAGGGACGAGCGGGGTGGGAGAAAGAGGAAAGCAGGATGGAACGACGCGAAACGGAGGCTTGGATCGAAACGGTCGTCGTCGTCGTCGTCGTCGTCGTCGTCGTCGGGTATCTACCTTGCCTCTATAGTTGCTCCCTCGATGGATAAGTCGAGACCGAGACCGAATCTTTTATTAAAAATATCCCTGAAAAGCAGAGTAGACTCGCCAGAGGGAAAATGGTACGGCTGGCTCCCGACAATGGGGCAGAGCCGAACGGAACACAGAGGTTAAAATTCTTTGCGCTCTGTCTTCGCGGAAGAATTAATCTAGCAAAGTGACACGGACCAGTTCTCTCGGCTCTTTCTGTCTTGCTTCGTCTGCCTGGACGGTCACTGTTTGCGTCCAAAGTAACGGACGTTACTAGAGCGTGCCGTAACTCTCCGATGTAGGCAGTCTTCTTAGCTTTTTCCGTGTTAGATTTTCGAATACTTTTACATTTCTTTTCGATATAGAGGAGCATTATATATTATTTATCCGTGTGAAAAGTATTAGAAATCGTGGCTCGATTGATGGTTCGAGAATAATCGTCCAACAGGTCGTCGCGTCCATGGGAAAAAGGACGTAGGACAAATCGTAGAGTCCCGCGGCCCTCGTAAGGATACGTTCGTCGATAGATTTCCATCCAACGGGTCTGACCGTTGCAGAGATTGGAATCGCGAAAGGGGTCGGACTGGCGCAGATGGAACCGAGAAACTTTCCCACTTTTAGCTCGGCGAATCCCACCGGCGTATAGTGTGTACTTGGCGTGAAAAGTTCCCGTGCCCGTTAATCTTCGCCCCCTTGAAGTTTATCGTGCGTTACCTAGACCCTCCCAGCAAGTTTTCGCCCGAGAAACGGCGGAAGCCGGATGGTAGATAGAAGCAAGGTTTCCTCGCCGTTTCCTTGGCTCGGTTATCAAGAGCCGCGAAACTTGCCCGCGCTGCCGAATAAATAATAAGAGGAAGGCAAAAGTTGACCGCGAATGCGCCGAGCCCCGACTTACCGGCGCCCCGTTTACTTCAAATTTGTACGCTCGAGCCTGTGGAAAAAACGTTCAACCCTCCATCGGATTTTAGAACATATAAAATGGCAGGGTTTTATTAAATTTATAAAAAATCGTCCAGTGAAGGGTCAGCTTTAAATTTTCCAAAACTGTCGTCTAATTTGAGCGGTAGTCTTTGGATCGATACAGAAACATACCGAGAGTGGCTACGAGCCAGAAGACGATATCGATTCCTCGCTGCACTCTCGAGTCACCCCCGAGCGATCCTTTATTCCACGCCGACTTTGTTATCAGCCGCTCGGAGAAGAGCATCGCTCGGCCTCGTATTTCTTTCTTCCGGTACGTTCTCGCCCACTCTGCGACTCGATCGAGATAAGCGCGAGCGCTGACGCGACGTCGTCGCTGCTGTGGGACTTCTTGCTTCGCGTCTGCCACCCGTACACCGTCTCGCAAAAACCGAACGTCGCTCGAAACGGTTGTCCGGACTCCGCGGTCGATGTGCATCCAGACGCCCTGTCGTTGAAGATCGGGAAAATATTTCAATAGATTTAGCGATCAAGTGCTGGAGCAGCGCTTTATCTACAGAGTGCTCTCTACGTTACCATGGCTTATCGACAAAATGACCTGCATCGTCATACTTTATCGATATAGTGCTCTACATCGCTGATAGTAGACGGTCGAGTACATCCTTTCCTTCCTCGCTTCGGCATAGTTCGGCATCCCCCGAGGTCCTGGAATATTATGTCAAGATTTAAAAAACATCAACGATCGTCTACCTGCCAGAGAAGACGCGAGATTCCAGAGAGTTCGCACCTGATATATCGGATATTTCCTGCTCGAGGCTCGAACGAAGAAGCCAGTCACGTTATATCGGCAAGAACTCGACGACCAGATTCCTCCTCCTCGATGTTTTATGAATTTACAAGTCACCCGGCCGCGAGGATCGCCTGGATAGAGGCAATCTATCTCATCTTCCATGTCTTGACGTCGTTATCGAGAAATTCTCGCCGTGGGACACGGAGTAGGTCGATTCATCCATTCGACCCAGGCACACCGCTCGCTCTCCGGCTCGTTAATATTAATTAACGGCGGTGACATCACGGTCTCCTAAATATTTGATTACCCCGGAGGAGAGAGAGGTCGCGTCGCGGGTAGCTCGCTTTTCCGGCCCGTTGGGCGCCGCTAATCACCCTTTAAATTCGTTCCGAGCCCTCGGAAATTGAACGACTCCTGGGTTGCTTCCGCGCTCGCGCCAAAAAATGATTATCTCGAAATCCCCCGAGGAGATCCCAGCGCCTCGAGAACTTGCATTTTTCCTCCTTCGGCAACCGTCTTCCGCGTCGCGTTGAAATTACTCTGCCTGAAGGAACACCGTTCGGACGTCGGGAGATCAGGGTGCCGGTAGAAAAACCCTGACTTGCTTGCTCCTTGCAGCTTCGGGAAGGTGGTAATCTCTCTCGACGTCGCGTTCGAGCCGTGTTTCGCGCCACCGTTATTGACCGTGGGCCAACCCTCCGTTTTCCTCCTCGACCTCGAAGTCCCTGAAGTGCGTGCAAGAAGACTCGTCGGGAAGAAGGAACAGGGAATCGACGAGGGAGGAATTGCCTGCGATAGCAGAGCAGCGAAGTTCCCGTTCCAGGTTCTGAAAAGGGGTTCGCAGCGGGCTTGTACGAAGAAAATCGGAGGCTCCTCGGGAACATATTACCCTCTCCTTTCCATCCACACGGGGTCTAACCCAGATTTATTCGAGAATCACCCAGTGCAGTACTTCAAGCCTGCTTTAACCAAAAATTAAACTCGTGGAAAATATTATTTTACGCGGTGGAATGGCAACACAGGTTGCGCGTCACTGGTTTAAAGACGGGCAACTAGTTTCACAACTGTTACTCTCGTTTGTTGAACGAAAAGGCGGAGGGTGGTGCCGGATGGCGGCTGAAAGAGAGCACAAAGGGAAAGAGGACGCCGAAAACCTCGGGGTTGCTATAGCTCGAACATGCTGGTAAGAGAGAGAGAGAGAGCGGTACAACGAGCATTCCGAGGACAGACCAGAATGGCCCTATCGGAAAAGGGTCGATGCGGTTCCTGCTTCCTTCGCCTGCGGAAATGAAAGAGCCTGGCCCGATCCTGTCGCAACCTAGCCCACGACCTCCGCCTAAACTTTCCTAATGAATACACCACCGTGGACTGTTTACCCGGTGCATTTGTCGAGAGTCGAGCGTTGTGTCGAGTGGCATTCAAAGAGGGAGCCGAGAAGCTGCTTCGATATGAAAAGGAACGGCTGGCAAACTCGACTCCGAGAAGAGCTTCCGCTTTGTTGGCGGCGCGACATCGATGGCAGAGGGAACCCTGAGGACTCTCGTCGACGAACGGGACCGAGATTGCGCCGAGAAACGTCTACTCG